TAACAGCACGTTTTTCTGCCTCCTTTATTGTTTTTTTCTTTCTGCACAGCTTGTTTTTCCAGCACAGCCCCTGGGCCAGCTGCTGGGAAGCCCCTCCAAGGCCCCACTCTGAGAACATGGGAGCTCTAGGGCCTCCAAGGACTCACAGGCTCCAGCCAGGGGTGGCAATTACGAGCCGGCTTCAGATTAAGTCCCCAAGTCCCACCTCCAGTACCCCAGGGCCAGGCACCCCTCTATTCAAACCCCACGGTCAGAAGGGTGTCCAGGGAGATCTATCTGACCCCACAAGAAAGAAACTTCCACAGTGCTTGTCCCAGAAGGTTCTGCTCTTGCCCACAGCTCTGATTCTAACTCCACCATTAGCTCTACACCCCTTACCTATGAGAGCCTCAGTTTCCCCATCTGTAAAATACCTGTGAAGTACAGAACAGGGTGTGCTATGGCTTGGCTAGGACTTAAGTGTGTCCCTAGGGGTTCATGTGTTAGAAACTCATGTGGCAGTGCAGAAGTGGGTGGTCCCTGGGGCCCTGGCCTGGAAGGAATTAGTGTAGTTCTTGATGGGACCCTAGCGAGATCTCGGAAGATGAATTATACAGAAAATCTGTTCCTCCACACCTTACTTCCTGTCTTACCATGCAATCTCTCCCTGTCACGTGCCCCTGCCACGGTACCATACACCATGATGGGACACACGCAACAGGGACTCTCCCCAGAGCTCGGGCCATGCTGTTTGGACTTTCAGACTCTAAAACTGTGGCCTAAATGAAGCCCTTTGCTTTAGACAGTCTCTGGCCTCAGACTTTCACTACTGCTATGGAAAAAGGACCTATATACAATGCAAATGGTTAGACACTGTCAGGCACACATCACCCTGTCTTCTTGGATCTCTTCCCCTTGGTCCCAGCACTGAATTCTCAAGAGTCTCAAATCTTATCCTTTTACTCTCCTGGAATTCCCTCCAATAGTTCTTTGAAACACAGTGCCACCGGGTACAGATACCCAGAAAGACCAAGATCTTTAGATCTTTCCTCTGCAAGTCACTGCCTGCCATGTCCCACACCTTCCGGCAGGGATCACAGCATACTGCCTGTCCTTAGGCCCCATCTGTGACAGAGTCACTGCTGAGGACTCCCAGAAGGCATTTACCACACAGCTCTTAGACAAGAATCACCTACCTAACACAGACTCATGGTCTGATGGAGAAACTAGATTACCACTGTGCTGGCTAGCTTCACTTGTCAACTTGACATACCTGGGTGGAGGGACTCTCAACTGAGGAATTTCTTCCACTGGACTGGCATGTGGCCAATGTCTGTGGGGCATTTTCTTGATTGCTGAGTGATGTGGGAGGGAGGGCCCAGCTCATTGTGGGCAGTGCCATCCATGGGCAGGTGGTCCTAGGTTGCATAGGCTGAGCACAGACAAAGAGAACAAGCCAGGAAGCAGCATTCCTTCATGGTCTGTGTTTCAGCTTTTACCTCCAGGTTCCCACTCTGAGTTCCTGCCCTGACTTCCTTCAGTGATGAACTGTGACCTAAGAGAAGATAAAATAAATCCTTTCCTCCCCAAGTTGGTTTTGGTTAGTGTTTTTTATCACAGCAATAGAAAATAACCAGGACAACACCAAATAATAATACCAGTGTGTGGAAAGTTGCTATGAAAACAAGAGGAGGATGAGACCAGGAATATCTGTAACCTGAGAACTGGCCTAACCTAGGAAGACTTCCTGGAAGAGGCTACACAAAGCTATGGCAGTCCATGCACTACTTTGTCTGCCCAGAATGTCAATTTGTCCCTGCAACATTCAGTACTGGTGAGGTTACACTGCAATAACAAACAACACTGGGTCTTGGTGGTTAGAACAAAAAAAGTCTAGCTCATGTACTGCATGTCATTGTGGACCATTAAGGGGCTCTGCTCACTAAGTGACAGAGAAGCAGTCACCAGCCAGCTATCAGGTGCCACCACACAAGGAAAGAGCTCCCGGGAGATTCTCGTATTGATAGTTCAATGCTTTAGCCTACAAGTGACATCTGTGGTAGCTCCCAATTCACTAGCTGCTCACATGTCCTGACCCTATCATTAGAGGGCCTGAACTCAACCCTGTGGTAGGCCTGCATTAACTGTGAATGTTTTAGGGAGCCCTAAGACTGCCAGACACCTGTCTTGCTTCCCATCTTTCGCTCATTCATAAATGGTAACTGGGTCAGGATTCCCAGGCCAGGGCAGAGTGGGCTGGGCACAGAGAGATGGGGGAGGCAGGCGATGGCACTGAACAAAGAATGTGAGGCATGTTACAGGCAGTCTTTTAGGTCATGGTAACAATTTGATTCTTTATCAGAAATGCACTGGGCAGACTGGAAAGGGAGAGAGAGCAAGAACCAGAAAGCCTACCATGACCTTCACTGGACCATATTTCCGAGTGTAGTGCTGAGGCAGAGGACCAAGGGCAAGTGCACTGGAGGGCCTTTGAAGTTGTCCTGAGGACAGGAAGTGTGGCCTCACCAATATGCTGGAGAGAAGGAGTTAAGAAGCAGGGATAAGGGGCTGGAGAGACGGCTCAGCGGTTAAGAGCATTGACTGCTCTTGCAGAGGACCCAGGGTCAATTCCCAGCACCCACATGGCGGCTACAAACCATCCTTAACTCCAGTTCCAGGGGAATCCAAAGCCCTCTTCTGACCTCCGTTGCATTGCATGACACGGGTGCACTCACAAACATGCAGGCAATACATTCATACACATAAAATAAATTCCCAGACTGAATTTATCTCTAAAAGATCAATTAGATGTGTTTTACATTTTCTGTAGGACATTGGTGAAGGAACACTAGGGTTATAGAAGAGTAACAGAAAAATAATGGAGGGGCTGGAGAGGTTGCTCAGTGGTCAAGAGCACTTGCAGAGGACCCAGGTTTGATTCCCAGCACCACATGGCAGCTAACAATCATTTGTAACTCCAGTTCCAGGGTATCTGATGCCCTCATCTGACCTCCGAGGGCATGGTACAACACTGGTGCACTTACGTATGTGCAGGTATTACATTCATACACATAAAATAAAAATAATAAATAAAATATATATTTTTTAAAAAAGAAGCAGGGATAGATTCACTCAGAAGGACCACACTCTCGGGGCCTGGAGATGGATGAACTGGCAGAGGGACACAGACTCAGGTGTCTGCCTTAAGGACCAGTAAGTCTGTGCCTTTGACCAAGATTAGCTATGGTTTATGAAGGAAGATCATGCATAGCCTGGGACCTGGTGCTGACAGCCACTGAGGCAGCTGAATCTGACCTCCAACTCTTCATTAGTGCTCTTTGCCCCTTTCAGAACTGTTTACAAGTTCATGTTATGTCTAGGTAAAGAGTGAGCCAGATGCTAGAATCTCACCCAACACCACAGAGAACACATGTGGGCAGGAAAAGTCAAGTAACTCTGGCCAGAGTTGATGGCTGTGGTGACAGATTAAGAGCTCCTGGGACAAGAGTCCCTCATCCTTGACACTCAGAAGGTACCACACCCTGTTACCAGCTGCTCCTTGGCAGTTGTTGTCAGCTAGGGGCTAGGGCCTGGCAGGTAATTCTCATACCCACAAGATGGTGCAGGGAGCACCATCCACGGTCAAAGAGCTATCCTGAAACCATGAACCAGATCCTGGGCCAGGAGCCCCATCTCTCCAGTCTCATTCCTTCTCCCTGATGTCCTACCAGACAGGCTGTGCTGGGCCCAGTCAGGAAAGACAGGTCAGAGAGGTCAAATGCCACCCTGAGAAGTCCAAAGCTGGGCAGGAAGGTTCCCAATGAAGCCCTTTCCATGAAACTAAATAAAGCAAGGGCTGTGTGCCCAGAAAGCTCCCAGCAGAGATCATGCCCCACTCCCCAGGGATGTGGGCTAACAGCCTGAGACTTCTGACCCAAGCACTTCACACCCCCAACCAGGCCCCAGGAAAGTCCCACCCTCCTTCCTCTGCAGTGGACAGATGGGCAAGGCAAGCTGGGTGCTACAGGCATAGCGCTGCACGGAAAATCCTTTCACTTCAGGACAGGCAACCCCCCAAAGCTCACAGGTATGAGGCACAGACTCCCTTCCCTGCCCGCGGTCCCCACGCACAAAGGACTGGGCGTGCTTCTTGTGGACCGCTCTAAATCACAGACCGCAGCCATCCTCCACACGAAGCGAATTTCGAACAAACACTAGATTCCTATTTTCCTCCTCTAGATCCCCACATCATCACCGGGGTCTAAGCCCCACCCCACCCCAACTGCCAACGGGGCTCAAGATACCAGCAACTTTTTGCCTGCATCGCCCAAGCCAGGTCCGTTGTTCTTCCTGCAGCGACCTGCCTAGGGCAGGCTGGCCTTGAGGGAAGAAGGTCATTGGCCACCAAGTTTCTGCAGTTTCTGCATCTCAGAGTACCTTGGGGACTGCGAGTCGGGTGGGGGTGGAGGCGACACCCGGGAGCTATTTCCCGAAGAGTCCACACCGCAACCCAGATTTGGACTAGATTACAGCCACGCCCTCCCTCGGCTAATAGAGGACCTGGGTGCACAGTGGGTTATACTGTTCCCAGACCCCCAATTCTGGGCCCCGGTGCCCGGGCGATCCCGGCCTGGCAGAACTAGGCCAGTGGCCGCAGCCCGCCCTCGCCCCGCCCCGCCCGGGTCTCCGCGTTCTCATCTCAATATTCTGGCCGTTTCCATTGGTCGACCGCGCTGTCCGTCAGCGGGCGGCACGGAGGCGGGAGGAAAAGGCTACATTGTAACAAGGCGGGCAAGCGCGGAGGAGGGAGGCGGAGGCCCGCGAGGCCCGCGGCGGCCGGTGGCGACCTGCGGGGCCCAAGCCTCCTGGGGTCCCCCGCGCCCCGCGCCCTACACCCGACCGAGGGCCCCACGCGTGTCCGCATCCCTGAAGCCCACTCCCCCAATGTCTCCGCGGCCCCCGCGCAGCCCAGCGCCCTCCGAAGCCATGTTCACGGCCACCGTGGCCACCGGGCGACTCACCTCTCCGGGCTCCCGCGGCGGCCGCGCGTGCGTGGTGCGGCCCCGGGCTCTGCGGGGCGCCGCGGGACGGGGCGGCCGCGCGTGGGGTCCCCGGCCCCGCAAAGTTTCAGCGCCCGCGGCGGCGCGGCGGCGACTCGCTGCTGCTCTCCTCCCCTGCTTTGACCACCATCTTATTAGTACAGGAAATGACATGGAAAACGGAAGAAAGCGGCGTTTGGGGCAGACGCGGACCCCCCAATTCAGGGGGCCGGAGCCGGGCCTCGCCGAGCCCCGCGTCCCCCCAAACCGGCCCCGCTCGGGAGCTCGCGCGTCCCCGCCCTGCGCCCACGGGGAGGGCGACGCCGGCCACCCTCCCGCCGCGACACCGGGGCCAGGAAAATGCAGAAAGGACAGGCTGCGCCAACTTTCCGCCCGGGATACTTTTGGGGGGTCGCGGTGCAAAGTTGGGCGTTTCTACAGATCCTTCCGAGGGTGGGCCCCCTGGCTCTCCTGGCCCGGACGCTGTGCGTTTGAAACCCCAGTAAATAGTCAGGGGGTTTATAAATGCGTTTAATAATTTTAACCCTTTCGGATTCCCTCTTCGTGGGCCCCTTTAACCCTTTGGGTGCCCAGTAGTCTGGAGATAACCAGGTGAAGTTGGGGAAGGCACGAATCCGGGAACGCAGGACCGTTCTGCCCAACGCCCAGGGGAAGGGCCCTAGACCACACAGGGAAAAACTGTTAACTGTTTAGACCGGGCTGCAGATTAAAGGAGTGAGCCGCACGTGCTGCTCAGTTAAGTGTGACCAAGACTGAGATTAGGAAACTGGGACTCCTGCCCTCTGGCAGACTTGGAAAAGGTGTTCAAGTGGCACTTACTTGCCGGGTGCCTCATTTTCTCCATCTGTCATATGGGATTTGGTGAGAAAACCGATGATGAAGCCGGGGGCTTTCCATGAAGGCACACCATAAGTGGGGAACCAACCACAACAGCTGTACACCAAGCAACCCATTTTTCTTGGGATGGCCCTACAAAACAAGGTCTGCCCTCCTAAGAGAGGCTGCTACCCTAGGCAGGTTCCCTGACTCTAGGAGAGCCCCCAAGGGATTCTACCCAAGTAAGGAGTCTAGGCTGGCCTACCCAGTGCAGGTGGCTCTTCCCATCAAGGTCCACAGAGGTTCTGTCCGACTTGGCCCTGACAATTGTTAGAAGGTGCTACCTCAGGGGAGCCAGTGACCAAGAGGATGAAGCTACACCGAGGCTATTCCAAAAAGGCGTCCAAGGTCAAGCACACTCAAAGGTGGTGGGCTTAGAACTCCTGGAGTCTGAGTGAGGTCTGGGAGAGGAGGGGAGAAGCATCTTGCTTCTCTAGATGTTGGCACCATAAAGTTTCTTGGAATCCCATGTCTCTCACCTGCTATGTGACCTTGAGTGTCCCTGTGACTTTGAGCCTCCCACATCCGCAGAAAAGTAAGGCCCAGCTGCTGTCTCTGGGAGGGGCTATAAGGGTGTATATAAGACACTTAGAAGTCACTGCTCACAGTAAACACTAAGGGACCAGTCTTGGTGCTGTGCTGGGTGACAGTCTACAGCTGCAGATTTCCTGAGTGTGCATGCTCGGACCAGGCAGAGCACTGGGTGCTGGTGGGAACCCAGATGAAGACTTGAATCTGGGTCCTGCAGGGAGGCTCCAGCCCTGCTAAAGGTCTGCAACACTACCTCAAGTTTATTCCATAACTAATGCCCATCTGGGGGGATCAGGCACTGCACTGGCAGCAAGGGCTCAGGCAGAGAAAGAGATGCTGGGAACTGGCCACTTGTCCCTTTTGAAAGGGGTGAGTTTATAGAGGAAATGACTTCAAAGGTGGACCTGGAATCTCCATTCTGGGGCAGCATGGCATTCCAGGAAGGCAAACAGCAGACTTGGAGGTGTCGTAGTGCCCAGAGGTTTGACAAGAGGCCTGCAGTGACTGGTGCCTGGAACAAAGTGGGTGGGACTAAGAAGCCTGAGATAGACAGGGAAAGAGGGTGTGGCCACAGAAGAGCACACAGAAGTGTCTTAAAGAGTGAATGGTAGGTGTTAAGCCAGGCCCCAGGAATTAGTCTTGGACACTGGTTTCCTATTTAGATTTCTGGTCTGGACCATTTGAACAGATCTGATGTTTGTTCCTTGCAAGGACCTCAGCCTCAGCACCTGGGTGGGGTGGGCCTAGGTCCCTGTGGGTCCCCAGCATTCTCCAGGACTTTGAACGGGGAGGTGGGGTCGTCCCAGGTCTGTCCTAAAGAGCTCCCCTGAAGCCAGGGTACAGAGCAAGGCCCTGAAGAGGGTATGGCACAGGCTAGGAAGATGGCTGGTGTTTAGAGGCTGCCACAAGTGCTGTGGCCAGAAAGAGTCCCCAAGGCCTGAATGGGACCCCCAAAGACACATGATCTGGGCAGGGTAAGTCTTGCGAGCCTGTATCTCAGTTTCCCTCTGATGGATAATTTGGGTATGCAACACAGGAATAGGATTTGGGAGGTGCCCTACTAGAATACTCTGAGGACCTCCAGGGATGGGGAAGGGAAGGAAATAGGCTGCATCACTTCCACATTGGGGGCTTTGCCATCCCTTTTGACCTCTCAATCATCCAAGACAAATACCATCATCATTTTTCACAGGCAAAGAGGCCATGCTCAGAGAGGTTAAGAGGCTCGCCAAGGTCTCACAGCTAGTTAGAGGTTGGGGCGGGAGGGGATGCAAATGCAAGCCGGATCTGCTTGTTGCTAGCTCTCAGTGTCTTTTCTGCTGTTTTTTGTTTGTTACTCTTTTCCCACAATGCTTGGAAGTGTTTCGAGTGGAGCCAGGTTCCTCCTCACCTGTCCTTGAAAAAACTGTCCCAGTAACCCAATCATCTCCAGGTCCCTGAGAAGACAGCAAGATGTCTTATGTGAATCCAATTTGACTCCAGCAGGAAAAGTTAGTCTGGGCCCATTAATAAGGATACCCAAACAAAATCTGTATCTGAAGAATTACATGGTGAGTGCCCTCCAGATCCTGGAAGGAACGTCCCTAGAGAGTCACTTCAACGATTGCTGTAAGGCATGGACATTGTTTATTCCGTCAATGACTGGTTCCTCCTAAACCCTCAAGGGAGAAATTTTATTCAGGATTTATTGCCTGGAAAAACTAAAACAGAAAGAAACTGTGTCTCCCTGAGGAACCAGCATGTGTCTTCATTGCTGATGAGGAGCTCTGTAACTGATCAGGCTTCCCTTTTCACATGGGTTGCCAGGAAGCTCAGAGCCAAATTCCACCCTCATTTCCAACAGCATTGGCAGTTGCTTCCTTCTCATTCCTACTTCCCCACTTCTAATCCTACTGACTCAGTCGTGTTTTCTCTGTCTTTTATTAAAGATGACCCCCCCCCCGTTGTTGGTGAGAAATAAATCATTCAAGGGAATCCACATTTGGAAAAGTTGCTGAAGGCCCTGGATCCCATGGGCCGTGTGCAAGGCCAGACATAGTTCCATTCTGATCTTGCCCACTTGCCCAACAGCTGAGGGATCTCTCTCTTGGAAGGAAGGAAGGACTGGCTCAAGACCAAGGGATTGCTCACCCAGCTGCCGACAAGGGCTGAGATCAAACACCCTGGGGTCAGATCTTCCACGCTATTTTTTTACTCTACTGACAGGCAGGTCACCTCTCTCCTACTAGCTCCCTAGGCACACAAACCACCGTCCCCTAACTCAGTACCCCAAGGGGTACTCATGAGGCACAAGTTCAAAGGTCCTGAGGTCTGACAGAGGGCCAGTGTCCAGCTCACAGTGTGGTGGAAAAGAAAATGAAGATAACAGGGAAGGCAACAGTAGGGTCCAAGCCTGGTTTCTCCAAGTAGTTTGACTTGAAGAGAGCGTGAAGCCATTGGTAGCCTCAGAGCTGGGAGACGTGGGCTCCAACTTGTATTTGCACAAACTCACCTCAGCTGCCATGGTATCTCTTTCTTTCCTATTGCTGCAGACAAAAAGCAAAACAAAAAATGCTGACAAAAGCAACTTAAGGGAGAAAGGATTTATTTTAACTCACAGTTTAAAGTATACTCAATCATGGCAGATGTCAAAGTAGCAGAGCTTGAAGCAGCTGGTTACATCAAGTCCACAGTCAGGAGGATAATGCAAACTACTGCTCAGCTCCCTTCCTCAGTTGTATTCAGTCCAGGGTCCCTTGCCCAGGGAATAGTCCCACCCACAATCAAGATGAGTCGTCCCACATCAATTAACATAAGCAATTCAGGAGGCAGAGGCAGGCAGATCTCTGTAAGATTGAGGCCAGCCTGGTCTACATAGCTCTAAACTAGCTGGGGCTACAGGGAGACCCTGTCTCAAAATCAAAATAAAAAACGAATTAACATAAGCAAGATAATCCCCAACAGGTATGCCCAGAGGCCCATTTCCCAGGCAATTCTAGATTCTGTCAAGTTGGCAACACTAACCATCACAATGCCACCCCTTGTCAACTTGACACCCAAACATATCACTTTAAGCCATTACCTATTGCCCTCTTGTCCCCATGGCCTTATGATCTTGTTATAATGTAGCAGTGTATTCAGTCCAACTTTAAAAGTCCTCATATACTAACAATTCCAACACTTTAAAAGTTCAAAGACTGGAGAGATGGCTCAGCAGTTAGGAGTATTGACTGCTCTTGCAGAGGACCTGAGTTCTATTCCCAGCACCCATATGGCAGCTAACAACTGCCCATAGCTCAAGTTCCAGGGGTATCTGACACCACTTCTGACCTCCACAGGCATTGCATGGCACCAGTGCACTTACACACATGCAGGCAATACACTCATACACACGAAATAAAAATAATAAATAAAATATTTTTAAAATACAAAGTCAATCTTAACTATGAGCTCCCATAAAAACAAATTGCATACATCCCACATATAATGACACAGAGTAAACATTCCCATTCCAAAATGGAAGAACTAGGATATAGCAAGGAATAATCACACCAAACAAAACCAAAGTCCATCAGGGAAAATACTGACTCCTGCAGCTCCATATTTGGCATCTGGAACTTGCAATGAAATCTACTGGGCTCCAAAAGACTTAGGTGGCTCCACCCCTTCAGGTCTACTGTCCTCAGCACATATATGTCCCTCCTGGGCTGGCTTCACTTCATTCCCACAGTGCTCCTTGTATATCCTGTGGTCCTAGCATCTCCAGTATCCTGGGGTCTCCACTGCAATCTAGACTTCACCTTTTTAGCTTCACAGGACAGCTTCTCATGGCCTTCTCACAGGGATTCCAATACCACCACACATTGCCAGGCCTCTACT